ATGTGCTCCCTGGTAGACGTCCTTGTGCTAGTGCAGACAGACGGTAGAGGTGAGATGAACTGGCAAACTATGATGACTTCTAGCTTTGGTTTATTTTCAAGGCAGTGAAACAAGCAAGTGTACACGTGATAATACCTGACTGATTCCAAGAGGTACTTTCCTTAGTCAAGTCTGAGTTGAATGACTAGCTAAATCAGGACAGGGGTTCTGGGGTGGGTGGAAGATAACAGAGATTTCCTGCTGCAATATTCTTGTCATGTGATTTATAGTTGATATCAACATTGTCTTTGGATGCATGAAATAATTATTTAAAACTACTCCTGACCATCAATAGATCTGGTAATGTGTAGAACATTTTGTGAAAACGCTGTGTCGTATTTCCTGAGTTTTCAATGTTCCGAAGGAAAACAAGGCCTTAAGGATTACTGGGGATGTTTTCAGAAGTGGTGGATAGGTGGCTTGTGTTAAGCAGATTGTAGTTTTACGTAGCAGTGGTGGCAGTTGAACTTCTTAGGGGACTGATTGTGGTTTTATTGGGGCGGGTTATGGGTAGGGCTTGTGTTGGGGAGCTGAATTAATCTGACTTTCCTCCACCTAGGTTGGGCTGACGGTGATTCCTGACAGCACAGCCGGCTGTGTTCTGGGGGTGCTCTGTAAGCTCCTGGATCAGGCGTGCACACTTAGTGAAACGCTGCTTCCCTTTCTGGCTTCTTGTTGCTACAGCCTTCTCTATTTTCTGCTGACTCTAGAGAAAGGGGAAGCGGAGCACCTGAGAAAGAGGTATGCTTTATTTATCCCCCAGCCTTTGTTTTCAAATGTATATGTACATATGTTTTTTTACCTCTTCCACAGTCTAACTTCCCAGTAAATATTTACAATGACAGAAAGTGGACAAAGGTCAGATTTGTTCTTAATGAATTCTTGTTGTGTCTTGAAAATTCTTAGTCGTCCCCCCCCTTCCCCATTAAGGTACAAATTTGAAGTTAGATGACATTGTAAAGTTTCTTGAGAGTGTCACCTTGTTTGCTACTGTTGTTCTAGCCAAAAAAAGCACTATGTTTTACCATTAGGAGGGTGGACTTTGTATTTTGCTGAGCTTCATTAAAGATACCCAAGTGGCAGTGGAAATTTTTGGACTTAAGGGCACTGTTCAAAGATGGTACTGCTTTTAATTAGTACTTTTCATGCTGTGTAATATTCAGGCTAAACGTTCTAAGATTGTTTGGAACATTCCACTGTAACTTAAAAATGTTCTTTTAAATGTTCTTTTTGCCTTTAAAAGTGTATGTTTTAAAAAAGTAATTCATTTAACATACCATTGGAGAAGGTTTAAAAGAATCTAAAACATGAGAAAATTTAAAAAAAAAAAGGACATTGTTAACCTGCTTTTAACATTGTATTATGTACCTTCTAGTATTTTCTGAGTTTTGAAGTACCGTGAAAATATATCATACATAGTAATTTTAGAGAACATCTGTATAGTTTACAGGGCAGTTTTAAGCTAGACATCTAATGAAGCAATGCTCGGGTTAAGAACTGCAGCGTGACACTCTTTTCATGTACTTTCCATAATCACATTTTCTTGTCTACACACAGTGCTAGAAACCACCACTTCCATGCTAATCACTGCCGTAAACCATCCCATTCTTGTGAATTTTATATTAAAGCGTTCATGCTTATGTGTTTCTGTTTTGAATCTTTCAATATCATTTATAACAGCGGTTGTCAACCTGTGGGTCGCAACCCCTTTGGGGGTCGAATGACCCTTTCACAGGGGTTACCAGATTCATAACAGTAGCAAAATTACAGTTATGAAGTAACAACAAAAATAATTTTATAGTTGGGGGTCACCACAACATAAAGAGCTGTATTAAAAGATTAGCTGTATTTTACTCATTTACATTTCTTTCAAGGAGGGGAGTCATCAAACTTCTTCCTGTTAAACAATGGTTCTCAACCTTCTTAATGCTGTGACGCTTTAATACAGTTCCTTATGTGTGGTGACCCCCAACCATAAAATTATTTTCATTGCTACTTCATAACTGTCATTTTGCTACTTTCATGAATCGGGCGACCCCTGTGAAAGGGTCGTTTGACCCCCAAAGGTGTTGTGACCCACAGGTTGAGAACAGCTGCTTAACCGATAGTACTGTCTAGGGTTTCATGGACTATGCAGGCATTGCACTGGTAGCTATGGGTGGACAATAGAAAAATGAAAGGCAGTGGTTGTGTTCTAGTCCAATTTTACTTATATAGACAGGCTGTGGACTGGAGTTGGCTTGTTAATCAGTTTACCTGACCCCTACTCTGTAATAATCTGTTACTTGAGTATACCACCACTTAATTTACTCACTGTACTATCCACGTTTTTTTCCAGTAAGTATATATACATTTTTAAATTTATATACTTTATAGACTAAGTCAAATAGTTCTGATCAGTAACGGTTCCTAGAAGCCCTAAAACGGACTGCCACAGTTCCTGCTTTGGCATTGCTCTCCTTCCTTGTGGTACAGAGGTCTCTGCTTTATTATTTCTCTGTGGTCGAGATGCTTCGAGAATGCAACACTCCGCTTTATACTTGAAGTGTAAGGAATCTGTAGTCATTCTAATATGGTTTCTGTCAAGTTTCTTGACATCCAAAGTAACCAAAGTGGGAAATGAATGTATTGGACCCTTGTAAGAGTAACCTTAAAGCCCGTGGCTAGGAACCCTGGTGGTGTAGTGGCTTATGAGTTAGGCTGTTGAGTGCAAGGCCAGCAGTTTGAAACCACCAGCCACTCCAAAGAATGAAGTTGAGGCTTTCTACTCCTGTGAAGAGTTATAATCCCAAAGGGTCAGTTCTACCAGTCCTATAGGGTCGCTGAGTCAGTGTACTTGAGGAAGTATGTGTGTGTGTTTCTGAGAGGCCTGTGGTTGGGCATCATTAGGAACTGGAACTAGAATCCCATCAAAGCCAGCTGGAACTGTAGGTGTTGCTTTCTTTCCCCCCTTCTCTCCCTCTGGATTGTGCAGCCTTATCTCTGTCTGCGTTAGCCTCAGTATTGGCTGCATCTGCATCTACAGGGTAGCTTTCTCTCCTCTGGTACTAGACTGCCCCAGCCTGGCTTTATGTCTGCCCAGAGATTGAATTAAGTCTCTGCAGATAAGAGAATCTGGTTGGCTTGGAAAATTAATTCAGTGCCTGCCTAAGATGGGGATTGCTCTGTTGTTTGGGGTTGGTGGCCATATTGTGAAAGAGCTGCTCCCTATAGGGCAGATGTCTGGGAGGATTATGCACTTCTGGTTCAGAAACTTGGACAGACGGATTTGACATGGCCTCTCCCTTCAAGTGAACATTGCTTTGTTAACTGGCAGTTTTCTAGATTTGATTCAGACAGCTACAAGTCCACCTATTTTTATCTCATAAATTTGCACTTCCTATAAAGGTATCAAGAGACTTCTATTGACAAGTTTGGATTTATCATCTCTGGATGGTTGTGGCCCTGGCTGTAGGGATAGTTAGTACCTAGAATCCATTTAGCCTCTCGACAAATCTGCCCTATATTGAGAAATTGAAGAGGCTCAGAATCAGGTTTGTAAGCATATAGAGTGTCGTGGATTTTTTTCCCCTCCATATTTTACGAGTGGGACATTCTTAGTCTTGTGATGCCTATGTGCACATGGAGTTCATTCTGTTGCCGGGCTGGGTTAGGTACAGTCGGCGTGGCTTCAAGAATATCTTACTAAGGCCAGGAAAGTGGTGGTTGCTAGCCTTTAGAACCCATGCAAAAAGTGAAGTCAGCTAATTTCAGTGGGTGTTTATTTAATTCTCGTGAAACCCAGTTCTTAATTATTGTAGTTTGTGGTGGTTTACTTAAAGCCGCCTATTTATTAAAAGGGCACTGCAGATTGGGAAGGGGCACTTTTGTGTATGTGATGGCTTCACTGTTTATTCTCCATCTTTGCTATTGTAGGGACAAGCTGTGGGGGGCCTGTATCTCCATCCTGGTGGTCCTGCCTCGAGTTCTCAGGTTGATGCTGCAGAGCCTGAGGGTGAACAGAGCTGGGCCCAAGGAGCTGCCTGTTGTGGGCCAGCTGCTTCGCCTGTTGCTGCAGCATGCACCCCTCAGGACGCACATGCTGACTAATGCGGTCTTGGTGCAGCAGATCATCAGGAACATTACGGTAAGAGAAGTGGTACCAGGGGCTAGTGCTGTTCGTGCCAGCAGGGATTTGGTGGGGAGGTGTGTGAGGGCGGGTGATGACGGGAGGGTGCCAGATATTGATGGAATCAAACCAGTTGTGGTTTCTCAGGGCTTCCTCCCCCACATAAGTCTCTCCCTTAAACAATGTCTTTGTTTCTAGAATAGGAAATAAAAGCTGTAAAACAAAGTCAAGGTGGCTTAACTAATTGGAAAAAAGATACAGGTGTTAGAAGGACTCTTGTCTGGATTCTGTTAGGAACTCTTGATTATGATAGCTCGGCAAGTTATTTTCTTTCCCTGTCTTGAGCTAGCTTTTTCATTTGTAAAAATAGGAATAAAGCCAAGTTCATTGAGTTTTAGGGAACAGTGAGCTCACCCCACCCTCTTAAGGTGGTTAATGTGCTTGGCATTTATTTGTCAGTACTGTCAGCTAACGTAAGGGGACTTCTGAGTAGAAGTGAACTTGGGGTCACTTTCTTGTCGGTAACGAGGGAGAGGCTGCGGCTGCCTGTGTGTTGGTGGTTTGCTCTCCGCCATCAGCAATGTGGGGTGGGGGGTGGGGGGGCTACCTCTTGTTGAGGGTTTCTTCGGGGCTTGGTTTTGAGGGCTAGAGAGATTTGTTTTTTAAAAAAATATTTGAGTGTTTTTTGGCTCATATATAGCAAAATTGCTGTAATAGAGCTTTTGCACACATTCTGAATTTGCTCAGTAGCTTGTAAAGAAGCCGTAGAAAAGATAATGGGTTAATTCTGAAATAGATTTCTTAAAGAATCAGTCCATCACCATAAGAAGAAATTGATCGTCAGTTGGCCCTATAGATATTAATGTAGTTTTTAATTTCCAATTACAGATGGTTCTAGAGTGACAAAGGAAGTGGGGGTTGGGGGTTTGGAAACTACTAAGAAACTGGTCACATTTGTACTTTGGGAGATAACTAGGAATTGTCGCTGCCTGCAGTAATGCCCAGTTAATAGTTCCTTTTTTCCAGCAACACTTAGAGATGAGGCATTGTTGGCAGAGGCTCCGAGAGATCATGTTGGAGCATGAAAACTCCTGTTTTGTGGTGTAGTGATGTCGGTGTGATTCTGAACTCTCTCTCACTTTCCCCTCAGACGTTGAAGAGTGGAGGGGTGCAGGAACAGTGGCTCACAGATTTACATTACTGCTTCAATGTGTACCTCACCAGCCATCCCCAGGGGCCTGCGGCGTTGAGTGCAGTGTATTGAAGTGACACCATGGAACCGGTTTGAAATTGTGTATTCACATTTATCTAATTCTGAAGGTAAACTGATGGAATGAATGTTTGTCATTATTATTAAAGTTCAACTTTTGAAGTTGTTTATGAACCTTCCTTTGTACTAAAGTAAAAGGTGACACCTGGAAGTTCCCACTGGTGAGTGGGCAGGCACATGACACATGGGTAATCTAGTTTGCATTTCTTGGGAGCTGAATATAAGACAGCTCCTAATAATGTGATGCCTTCTGCTATTTGCTCAAGAAATTGGCCAACGGTTTGTGGTTCCATGTAAGCAAACTTCAGTGATTGTGCTCACAGCCCCACTTTATCCAGACAGCCACAAAACGCTTGGGTTTGATTGGCTTTGGGTTTTGTTCTCCATCAGAAGATAGCTTCTCACTGGAGCTCTGTGATCTCTGGAGGTGGTGTCCTCCAGGCAGGGGCAAAATTGCAGGACCGTGGATGTACGAGGTTGGGACTTTTTTACAGCTAACTGGTGCTTGGCTTGATCACTTTTAAATGTTCTAAAAAAATATATATCAAAACTTTAAAACTTAATTTCTACTAAAGATCCACAATAGTTTAAAAGGTTACAGCTCTGATCTTGCCCCTTCATACTTTTTTGGTCCCCAAACTCAACAATTAAAAGGAACACAATTTGAGCCCGAGGTAGTCCAGACTGCTGTTTGGGGCATGGTATAAATCACAGAGCACACACAACAGTTCTTCGGGAGATGCAAACACTACCCTCGGAGTGTATAGATGTAGATAGAGCACATGTTGAGAAATAATAGCTTCCTATATTTTGGTTTAATAAAGCTTTCTAGCAATATTTATTTTACTTTGAAAAAAAATACGGTATTTTAGGAAGAACAATTATAATTATAATTTAAATACTTTAAAATGCGTCATATAGTTAACATAGATGTCACTAAGCAAACGGGAAGTTTGAAGGATGTGTATACCTCGCATGTTAGTGGTGTCCCTCCTGTCTTCATTTCCACATGGAAATGCCCTTGACCAGTCACTACATTTGACATTTTATTGTTCTCAGAGAGCTAGTGTGCACACAGTTAGCATGGCGTGGCCTTTTGACAAGGTCGGTTGCTTCTGGAATGCTGTAGCTGGAGTACAGACCTCGCTGCCTGGAGGCTCTGGGCTGAGAAGCGATCTGACTGGTTTCTGGATGCTGGTACTGGGGAGAAGCACACCCTGTGGGTGGGCGCAGAGGCTAACGTGGGAGCTGCAAATAGGTCAAGAATCGCTAAGTGTACATTCTGTCTGGGCGGCCTGAACGCAGCACTAGGCTGTGATTCGAGGCTGGAGTGTAAGACACGGAGTAACCAACGTGCTGGCTGGGATGAAATTTGCTGCATCGAGTCCTGGAACCTGTAGTGAAATGAGGACAGCTGCCGTCGGACAGGTTCCTGCCCATCTCGTGTAGGTTCTTCAGTTGATGAGGCAGGAAGCCACGCGCATGCCAGCCAGCTGGCAGAAACTCTTACTTAGCACCCCTGTTGTGCTTAGACTGGGTTTTGTTCTGACTTCCAGCATACTGACTGATGGGAAGACAACACAGCAAGGCTCCTGAATGCTGGCTAAGCTGAGCCCCGAAACTGCTGTGTAAGAATGCAAAGAACACTGATTGAAATTCTTCCTGAAAGGACCACGTGTTCAGGCTAAGGCCTCACCTCAGACATTGAAGTCTTCCCACGATGGAGAAGAGAGTCAGCAGAGAAGCTGAACTACTAGCTTTTCCAGCTCCCCCGAACACAGGCCTCTGGAATAGGTCCTCGAAGCTTTGTTTCATTTGATTGAGTCGTTGCTTGTAGGTTATAAGAGAAGTTCCTGGCTCTTCGACTGTTCTCTCGGAGGTGCACACACTGCAGACCGCTCCCTGTCAGAGGCAAGCATGAGAGAGGTTCAGGTGATTCGTTACAAAGCAGAAGGGAAGAGTTCTTGCGGCGAGGAAGAGCTTGGGCTCCCAGAACCTATAAACAAGGTGATGGACCAGTTAACTGAGGCAGGGTGACTTGACCTACATCTCTATCATCCCAAAGGTGACAGTGGCATCTTTTCAAGGAGTAAGGGTGAAGGCACTTGTGTTGGAACTGGAGCTCAAGGGCCTCTCCATGTATCTCCGGCACATACAGCTCTTCAACTGTCCCACTTTCTGTGGGGCAGTTTCCTAGCATCCACTGCAGTAAATAGCTCATTGGAAAATTTTTATTTTTAAGAAGAATGCACTAATATCTAACTAAAAATGGATTTCTTGAGCCTTTTTGTGACCTTGAACTTGCAAATTGATGTTGGAAACTGGTGATGTGTAGTTAACACTCTTTTGATTAGGAGCAATGCCCCAGTTTGGTAAGAGATCTTGAGGACATATGGCTACATAGTGCTCTTAACTCTCTATGGAACAAAGAAGTAAATAGGAAGGGTGAATAGTTCAAAGCATTAACCAACATAAATGTAATTTTCCTATCCTGGTTTGTCAGTATTGCTTAAAAGTTTATCATACCTGGAATGTCTACTAGAGATATTAAAATGAGAATTTCGTAAGAATTACAGGCCTACAATATAAAATAAATTTTATGCAAAACAATGTACCGCTTTGGGTACAAGATTACTGTCATAATTAGACCGCCAGGGAGGGTCAGTTTGATCATCAACTACTGTTTTGGGACGCTGACATGTTTTTGGTTGCTTTGACTACAAAATCTTGGGTTTTGTCATCTGCGTCTCCCTGTGCAGATGGGACAGAATTACACTGGAGTCTTGCGCCATTCCTAACCAGCCTTACGGTTAGCCCATTCATTGACTAGCATTTTTAATATGTGTATGCACATGTTTCAGTTAAGTGTCCCTGATTTCATGTTACAAAACTGTGTGCTCAAGTCATGTGTATTTCATGGGGATTTCCTCTTAAGAGTCGTGCTTGGTAAAACACAGGCTTCACTTGCTAGCAGTGCTGTCTGTCCAGCAGCCTTGGTTAGTGGATGATGCTGACTGGGCAGGGTGGGCCGAATAAAACCTGTTCCCTTGAATTTGGGATTAAGAAAGAATTGTCTTTTATTTAACCCTTGTCAACTTAAAACCAATCCTATGGTGTGTGTGTGGGGGGCGGTTATAAGCTTATTCATTCATATTAAGTACAGGAAGTCTGAGTGCATGCCCTTTGTTGTTCGGGACTATTGAGTCAGGCCTGACCCATGGCAGCCCTGTGCCCAACTGAACGGGACACCGCCTGGTCCTCTGCTAGCCTCAGATTTGTCCCATGCTTAAGCCCTCTGTCAGTCCATTTTATCGAGAGCATTCACTCTAGAGCTTTTATCCGGCTAAACACCTCAATTAAGGTTTCTGATCCTGGGTTTTAAGACAAAGTAAAACATGCTCTGTTTGTCTATAGTATTTGATTATAAATGCTGCTTGTAATTATACCTATCTCATAGTTCGAGTTTTGAACTTCACTCATATATAAAGATGAATGCTTTCCATAGAACATTGGGCTTGAATTCCTTTGAAACTTTCTACCCCACTCAGCACTCCCAGACCAGCCTCCTATATTACATGAAGCTGCATAATAACTCCTTCTAGAGAAGTTGCAGTAATTACTTGGTCTCCTCCCACCCCAAAAAGTGAAATGAATGTTAAAGTTCATGCTGACAGCCACTGTTGGCCTTCCCAGCTGGTCTCTTCCTGCAGGATGCCTGTGACAGGTGAGGGTGGGTGTGGGTTGCCATAGCTACCTGTGAAGAAACACTGGAACTGGCATTAGCTGCTGACAGCACTGAACTTATCACCCAACTTTAATGTTGGTATGACTGAAGGGCCCTGAATCAAACACTTGTCTTCAGCCTGGAAAGAAGGTTCCCTGAGCTGCCCGTGGAGGACCGAAAGTGGACAGTTGAGTCAGCTGAACACACCCTCAAGGAGGCAAAGGCCAGAATTGGCAAAGGGACTTTCCTCTCTGGGGGAAGAAGATGTCGGATCCTAATGAGAGGCCTGAATGGCACAAGAGCAAGCCTGTGGAGGGATCTGTTGCCGAGAACAGCTCTGACAAGAGTGCCTCTTAGGGAGACAGATGAGGACACAGGACCCCAGGAAGGGGCACGCAAAGCACACGGCTGGGATCAAGCCACCCTGGGGAATCCTGGCAACCTGTTCTCATGGTTTCCACCTTGGAGAGGAGGGGTGGGGGTAGCTTCCCCACATCCTATTCCCCCTTCTCCCCTTTCTGCTTCGAGGTCAGCGGGCATTTTACCTGAATTGAGATGCAGCACAGAAGGGCCTTTGGGTGGTCGTGTGGAATGGTGGCCTTTACCTTCTTGAGAGCAACCTGAAATGACCAAACATTGTCATCTACATTTGAGCAGTGATGGCTGTGGCCTGACTGAGTTCTGACTTCCTCAGTGAGCAGTAGGAGGTGTCTACGAGACAAGTCAGTGCACGGGGAAACCCAGGGTGCTGCAACGAGCTCACCAGGCTTAGTCTCTGGTGTGTTCACTTGGATGAGCTTTATCCATAGCTGCACGAATGAGTGCTTCGTGCGGGGCTTGGGTTGGGGACGGTGCCTTACTGCCATGGAGTCGACGCCAACTCACAGCCACTAGCAAAGGAAGGTCAGAGGGAGGCAGGCAGGGTCTACCGGAGCCAAGAGGTCCTGGAGATGGGGGGGTCGGTGGCATTTTCAGTCATGAAACTCAGGAGACTCTGGCTGGAGTTCTCGGCTGAAATGGGAGTGGGGGAGGAGAGGTAGAGTGTGGTGCTGAGAACACCCTGGGTGCTTGGAAGCAGCCATGTTCAGTTCCCATCTGAATGGAGTGCCCCCTGTGTTTAGGAAGTCCCACTACCGCTTTCTGGGGCTGCTGCTTGTAAACTACGAGGTGCCCATCAAGAGTTACCGTAGATTTGCGTGAGCATCGAGTGCTTGGTGGACTTTATGCCCGAGCTGCCCTTGGATGGACCCTTGGTGGTCTTGCCTGCTGCAGTGGTCTTTGAGGGCTTTACTTGCTGATCTTTCTGCCAAACCTGGAGGAGCAAGACCACACACTCTCTGTTCCACATGTCCGCATCTCCAGCTCCCAGCTGCTTCATGTGCAGAAGGTGGGAAAGGTGCTTCCTGCACTGATAGCTAGTGGAGACAGGGGTGGGAAAGGTGTTAAGTCTTATTAGATCACAGCACTGAAGAAAAAGAAAAAGTTAAAAAAGGCAAATTTCTATAAAGTTCCTAGAAGCTAGATAAATTCTATTTGCTGTATTCTGGGCAGGTGCAGGTAAGCTTCTAGTCCTAATTTCAGTGGCAGCATGTTAAGTTACTTTTCTATCGACAAACATTCCCTGGACTAGGTATAAGCAATGAGGCCAGTTCTCGCCCTGCAGGAGCTCACAGACTACTGGGTCAAACAAGCTGTGCAGTGTGAGCAAGGGGTGGAGCGAGAAGTGAGACTGGAGGGAGTGCAGGAATGACATGTTTGGAGGTTCAGTAAGGATTACTTCTGCTGAATTTTAACGGGAACTTGATGGCTTACCAGGAGTCTTGATGGCACTGTGGTTAAAGTGCTCAGCTCTGCTAATCAGGGGGTTGGTGGTTCAAACCCACCTGCTGCCCTACGAAAAAGGTGTGGCCATCTGTTTCTGTAAAGACTCACAGCCTCCCTTAACAGTCTGCATCGACAATGTTCTACATTCTACTCTAAGGAGTAGCAACTGCAGTCTTCATAGCTGATGATACAACTATCGGTCTCTGTCCGTAGGAAAGGAGAGTAGAATGATGACCATTAAAGATGCGGGAGCTAGCTTGTGCCTTGTGCTCCCGAATGCAGGTGAGGAGATGGCCAAAGGCACCAAGAAGGTTGGGGTCATGGCCAGTTGTGGTGCCTCCCTCAGGAAAATGGGGAAGAGAGGAGCTGGCACTGCAGTTCCCACGAGGACAGTAGCTGCTGGGCCTGACCTACACCCCCCGCCCCCCCAGCTATCCCAGCAAAGGCCGCCAGCAGAAGACTGGAGGGAGTGAAAGGCCAGCAGAAGCGCCACCATTTGAAACGTCTCTGCCTGAGACGAACGGGTTACTTAAGGTAGTGATAGAATGCAGGTGAAAGACGCGTGGAAACAATTAGTCCAGTGGATGAAGAGACCACACAGCGATCTCTGGCGCTGAAGCCCGAATGAGAGGACGCCTGCCAGCCACTGCCATCTGCTCAGAAAGAGGTCACATCAGAAGGTCCTAAGTCGAGAAGGGTGGGGGGGATGGAATAAAACTCAAAACCATAAAATCAAATTGGAACAGAAGACCACGTTTCCTGGTTGGAGAGACTGGTGAACCCCTAAGGATATGGCCCTTTGCCACCCACTGGTTTGGCACTGAACTCCGCTGCACAGGCCACAGTGGAGCTAAAAGAATCAGAGCTCTGTAGGGCACCATAACACCAGCGGGGTGCCCACCGCTTAGAACAGGGGCCCTCAAACTTTTTAAATGGGGCCAGCTCACTGTCCTTCAGACCCGTTGGAGGGCTGGACTACAGTTAAAAAAAATACTATGAACAAATTCCTATGCACACCACATATTTTGCAGTAAAAAACAAAATGGGGCAAAAACACCCAGTGGGCTGCATGTGGCCCTTGGGCCATAGTTTGAGGATGCTTGCTTTAGAAGAATGCACCGTTGGAGATCCAAAGGGCAGCATCTGCCCACAGACAGCACTCATGAGCATTAGGAGAGCAGCCGGGAGCACCAGGAGGAGGTGAGTAAGTGAGGGTGCAGTGAGGGGATTACGATCAATGAGATGAAACAACGGCATGAGCTGGTGAATGGGAACCTGCTTTGTGAACGAGAAGAACAAAGGGCGTGGAGAATGGTCCAAGGGACCCCACGGGTCCCAGGCTTCAGGACCCTGAATGAGACTAATGAACTTGACTAGATGGTGCCACCACTGCTGGTTGCTCTGAAGGAGGTCCCGGATACCCCTGCCATCAAGTCAGTTTCCACTCGGAGTGACACTGGGGGACAGAACTTGCTCCTTATGGGTTTTAGAGATGGTACATCTTTTCAGGAGCAGACAGCCTCCACTTACCCCCTTGGAGTGACAGGAGTCTTTGAACCAGTGATCTTGCAGTTAGCAGTCTAATGCCTAACCCACGGCACCAGCAGGGTCTGGATAAAGTGGGGGAAAATGTGGAATGAAACTTAAAATCGTAAAAGACGAGGCTTGCTGATTTGATTGCACAGAGACTGGCGGACCCCTGAGACTATGGCCCTGAGAGACCCTTTGGGTCTGGAACGCTCTGCCCAACACATGGAAGTCGAGCGCTGGGGCAGCATTCACCCAGAGAGCACGTCCCAGACAGAGACAGGAAGGGTGCAGTGACTGTGGGATCGCAATCAGTGACACTATAAACAATGTGAATGAACGCTGGAACAAAAATTTCTCTAAACTTCCACCCAAATCACAATTTTGAAGAGCCGAGTGTGGGTGTGCAGCCGTGGAGACTGTACAGGGCAGTCTGACTCTAGCCTATAGCGTGACTGTGGGTTCACACACTGCCCTGGGCAGTGGGGTTTGGTTGTTTCTGGGGGCGGTTTACCAAGCTGAGGAGGGCATGCCAGAACGTGCATGCACACAGGGGTGGGCTTTGGCAGGAAAAAAAGCAATCGGCAGCGTGCCCGGAGCACTGAGTGTTTGGTGAGGGAAAGAGGGGAGGCTGGGCTTCCCCGTAGAAAAAGGCACCATTGCTGAGGGTCTGTGGAACCGCAGGCGCCTTTCCTGGGATGAAGCCTGATAATCACACTGTGAACAGATCGAAGGAAGCTCAGACAAAGGAGCTCTGAGGGTCCTGGGCATCAGACGGTCGGCTGCTAGCCTCGTGTCAGCTGTTTGGAGGGAAGGATGTGGCTGCTTCTGCAAGGACTTTCAGTCTTGGAAATGAAGTCCAGGGTCACTGGTGGTCAGTTTGGTTTGGTCTTATCCCATTTAGCTAACATTCATGTGCCTGCAAGCCGCTATTGAACAGTTGTTGGGGAGCCTTCAGGGGAGGTGGCATCCATGTTCAGCATCTGGAGCTGCTATGGCTCCTGATGGGCCACCAAGGGGCCACAGAGAGCAGCTCACAGAGTTGGCCCTGCCAGATTTCTCAAAACACCAAACAGGAAATGGTCCTCTTCCTAAACCTGCCCAAACCTGGCAGTGCTTGATCAGCCCCAGCCTTCCTTCCCCAAAGTGATTGCAGCCAGCCTTCCCTTCTTTCCTGGAGAGGGACAAACCTTGACCCCCCTCCCCGCAACCACCCCTAGAACACGTGCCACGCATCCCAAGAGCCTGCTTGGAGGATTAAGGTGCACCTGACCCAGTCATGATGTTTTCAATCACCTCAAAGGCACATGAAGGGTGGACAATGAACAAGGGAGACCACAGAAGCCTCGATGCATCAGAATTATGGTGGCCAATTCTGGAAGTACCGTGCAGGCCCAGACAGCAAACGCAGTCACCGTGCACCGGTGTGCACTGTGCTGCAGCACTGGGCGCCCAGCACAGCGCAGACCTGAGGACTGGGCAGGGTCTCGTTCTCTGCACAGAGCTGGCTGTGAGGCAGCACCCACTTGATGGCACCTCACACCACGAGGTGCAATCTGCTCATGAAATCCTGGGGTACTTCCCAGTCTCCCTGGACTCTGCCTACAGCACTAGCTTGCAATCAGCGGGCACTCTGTGCGGGCTATGCTCCCTGTCCCACTCCTCAATGCTCCTTAGCTTTATTGTCACGTCAGACACAGTCTCAGGACAGCACACGGGGCTCCTTCACGTAGATTGGAAGATATCGAAGGACATAACAATCAAAAGTCACCAGACGTGACTTTCTACAATGGGCAGCATCCCAGAAGCCCTTTTGGAGTCTACCTCCAGGCCTCAGAGTTGCACAATGGCTCAGCCAGGGGGAGCCTGTATAATTACCTCCCCAGATGGGCACCTTACACTATGAGCCCACTGTTCTTGGGAGGAATGACTGAAGGCTCATTTGCTTCTATGCACACTTACTGACAGGACCTGTCAACTTCTCACTCTTCAAAGGAGTCAAAGAACACGTGTGAGGGGGAGCGTTTTGGCCAGGGAGCAGCTGTGGAGCCTGACGTAAACCTTGCTGGCTTGTTGCAATCCCAAGTTTCAGCTGAAATACTAACGCAAGGTTCCCTGGGGTGGAAGCCAGTGCACAGCCTGGGAGATCTCTCCCAGGAGGGAGAGCCCGGACCAGAGGGGCTCAGCAGGAAGCTTGCCCTTCGAGAAGCTTCGCTGAGGTCATTTAACTGTCCATGCGCCGGTTTCATCATCAGTAGAGAAGAACAATACTTCCTCACAGGGTCCTTGTGAGGATCAATGGAATTTGTACAAGCAAAACCACTTAAAACATTGGGCACTGTGCCAAGCATTGACCTAACTACTGGCATTGGTGGTAGTCAGAATGACACATGCACTCTGCTCCCGACGGCTACGTTGTCTGCCCTGTTCTGAGGTCAAGAGCGCAAGGCCTGCCTCCAACTACATTATCTTGCCCATAGCAAGACCTGACTTCCCTAAAGATGAAGGGGCAAGAAAGACTCTTGGCTTTGAGTGAGGCAGAGGTTAAGGTGCTGGGTGTGTATCCCTCGGACAAGGGGAACCTGGTCCCTGTCTTGACTGGTGGGGAGAGGGGGGGCAGCTGCAGCCGGTCTTTGGGTACTCCTGGAGGCCTGGCCTTAGCCCCGACACAGTCTCTCTCCCGCTCTTAGGCTCTCTCCAGCCCCTTGCCACTTGGCTCCTGTGCTTACAGTGATAAGCCTGCGCTGTTCTATCCCAGGGTCCATGTGTGCCGTCCATCCCAGTCTCTAGGCCTGAGGACAGAGAGAACGGGCGGCGTCCTGGGAGAGGCATGGGCCACCAAAGACCCAGGTTGCCCGACCTGCCCGCTTACCGCCTCCAGGCGCGCTGGATCACAGCGGCCGCCGTGTTCTTCCTGCGGAACAGCTCTTTGCGGCCGCGTTCCCGCTGGATGATCTGCAGCCGCAGCTCGACGGGCAGCAGGTCCATGCTCACGGCCTGCCCAGGGAGCGGTGGCTCCGGCTCCTTGGGCCCCGTGCGTGTCCCCGTCTTCCGGGCTCCTGACCTCACCGCCTCTGTGCTCGGTGGCAAGTCTGCGAGCTTGTCCTGCGTCGCCCTGCTTCTTGGGGCGCGAAGGTGGAGAGGAAGCTGCCCAGCAAGGAGCGCTTCCCCCTTGGCACTGCCAGGCCGGCTGGAACCGGCCGGGGAACCCCGGCCCCCCTTGAGCTCTTGCACCCGCGTTTTCTGGGGGGCATGCCTGGCCGAGGGCGTCGCGTCGCGCCGACGGCTGGGTTTCTCGCGGCCGGTGGCTGCTGGCGTAGGGTCCTGTCCCCTGAGGCTGGGGGGCTGCTTCCCCGAGCCTTTGCCCCGTGCACGCGGCGGCCCGTCGCCTGCGGGGCCCTGGGGCAGCCCGGCCGGGGGCACTCCGGGTGCGCTGCCGCCCTCGCCTTCCACGGGGGCGGAGTGGACACGGCCGGCTCTGCCTCCACCGCGTTCTCTGGACGTTTCTGAAGGGACAGGGGAAAGAATATTTATTGGGCACAGTTTGTGTAATTGGGCACGTCTGTTCCTTTGTTCACACAAAGTATTCAGATTTGACCAGATTTGAGAGGGGTGATTATGACTGAAGATTTAAGGGACAAGAAGGGGAAAAAAACATAGCTCTCTATCAGTGACAATGCCGCTCTGAATCGAATAGACCTCCTTTAAAAGTACTGTCACGCGTCAGGAAAAACAAGGCGGTGCCCAGGGACCAAACGCATGGAAAAGGGGAACTCCTCGCCCTGGGCCCCAGCCTGGCCTAGGCCTGCGGTGGCCGTCGCAGTACAGGGTTATGCTCCCAGACCTACATAAGGCAGAACAGGAGACCTTGATAAGAAGTTCATGCAGGAAGCCAGCACTCTTATTTCAAGGGGTAGACAGTACCCTGGAGAAATGATAGCTCATATTAAACATAAAAATAAAAAATCTGCTTGCAAGCTCGGACACAAGGAGCTTGGAGTCAAGTTCGGATCCAGGTGAGTGAACAGCCTCCCAGGGGAGCTTGGAAATGAAGCCTAGGGTCTCAGTGGATCGGTGGATCCACTATTTATTTATAACCGCTCGGAGAAATGAACATAAAAACTGGCCCTAGCATGGTGGCATCCCAGAATGCCTAATAGAAGCCACAGTACATGGCCTGGTCTCAGCCTACCATACACATATTCTGAAAATGAGCCCACAGTTCAAAATGAGCAAACAGCCCACCCAGGGCAACAGTGAGAATATACACACTGGAAGATTAGACAGTCAAGAACGTTAGCTTACAGGGTACCATGCACATGGCGTGCGCGCGCGCGCGCACACACACACACTCTCTCTCTCTCTCTCTCTCTCTGACTAAAGAAATAGAACAATTTTAACCAAGAGAAAATAATAAATATACTTCAAAACCCCCCACTTTATTTATTATTATTATTTTTGTAAGTAGCATATACCTTCTATCTTTGTTTGTCAGCTGCACCCTTGACCTGGGAGGGACTTTGTAAATGCATTAAGCTAATATTTTTACAGCAATACATGAAAAAACTGGCAAGAGGAGTTTATGAAAATGCAGGGGGTGGGGCAGTGGCACAGCTGGCAAACAAATGTATAAGGTGCAAGAGAGACTCATTGCTGGAGAAAGGCGTCGTGTGTGGTAAGGTGGAGTGATCGGCACTGTGGCTACAACAATGGGCTCAAGCATAGGAGAGGTAGTGAGGGTCGGACAGGGCTGGGCTACCTGACGATTGCGCACAGGGTCACCAGGAGTCAGAACCCAATGGATGCCACCTAACAACAACCTCTCAAAGGCACAAACATATCAAAGGTAACATCATGATAGATGGATGTCAAGGATTTTGTCTTGCTTGGATTCACTATCAATGCTCATGGAAGCAGCAGTCAAAGAGATCAGATAATCATCCATTAGGACGGTGCAGGACTGGGCAGTGTTTTGTTCTAATGTGCATAGGGTCACGCTGGGTCGGAACTGACTCGATTGCATCTAACAACAACAAGTATATAGACTCATAATTGCTAAAGAAAGTGAACAGGATTTAAAGACATTGGTTACCGATGGGGATGGGGACAGAAAAAGGTAGAAAGAAGAGGGAAATGGGAAGTAGGGAGTTGGGGTGAAGGAGTGGCATTTCTCTTGAGGACACTTTTCAGTGTAGCTCTGACTCTTAGAAACACTACATTGTTCATATAACACCAAAAACCAAGCAATTCAAATCAATGGGAACTGGAAAGAAACCAAATCATTGCTATGCATGAGTCAAAGGACTGCCCTCACGGGGTGATGATGGAAAAGACCAGCACAGCAACCTTGGTAAGCTGTTTTGGTCGACAACTGTAAAGCCGTGGCTGGTGGTGGTAGGTGGTGGTGGTGGTAGTTGGCAGTTGTGCCTTGTGAGGATTCCACATGACAGGGTGGAGCCGTCCCCTGGGCTCTCCTAGGCTGTCACTTTTTTTTTTTTTTTTAACATTTTATTAGGGGCTCATACAACGGTTATCCCAATCCATACACACATCAATTGTGTAAA